AATCTTGCTGACACGCGTTCAAAGAAGAAGAAAAATAAATCCGTGTTTATGTCTCTTTCTTTGATCTCTGGATACAGAATGATCAAGAAATATATTTAACGCATTTCTGTTGTACAATATAATCACGGCTAAGCTTCTTTGGTGAAAAAATAAGCACAAAGACACGATGTGGGCCTCTAGTAACGAATTTTTCAGAATATTTTTCTGGGTCATATGGGCGGAGTTTCAACGATAGCGCAAAGTGTCGCCCAAACCCTGATTGCCTCTCCCAAGTGTTGCAAAAAATCCCACGCTCTGGGACTTCCCTTGACGGTTGGTTTTGCTGAGCATGAAGTCGGTATTCGGACAGGGGGGGGGGGGGAGGGGGATCTTGTGACAGTGTCAGAGGATTCGTCTGAATAAATTTCCTATTTAGCCAGGATTATTGAGAGTATGTATGGTAATTACGTAAGTGGATAATTATTGGCCAAAATGAATTATGTAATCGTAGAGTTTCTTTGAACAGGCATTAGGTGTTCTGACTGGATTATGATTGTTCACCAAGGCAATAATTACAATACTTTTCTTTTAGTGATTCATGTTTCTGTAAGTTAATCTGTGCCTCTTAGATGGGTAATATTCGATTGATTGTGAATTAGAAATTAAAGGATAAGGGGCAATGAAACAGGGGTAATAATTGGTAAATATTCTTGGCAATAGATCTTCATACAGGTACTTAATATTTTCAGTATAATAAGTGTCTGCAGAAGAAGACTCTCCAAATATGTCTAGTTTAAATATAAGTTAATCATATTCATCGGTAGTTCAGATAATTTAATAGCTCATTTCCGAATGAGTTATTTAGAGATCGAGATGTGATTTCCTCCCGTGGAAAGAGATCAAACGAGTAATTAGACGTCCTGATCCTCCATCTGCGAGCAAAATTCCCACTGCAGGAATCGGGAAATTGCACAACGCCAGCTGGGCAATCCAACAAAGGAACGGAAATGCGTACTGCCGTGTCTTGTGCTTGGAGTCGAGTGTTTCGTGTTGCCACTTATTTTTTTTATCTTTTTAAATCTTGTTTTTTTTTTATTTTATTTTATTTTTACTGCTAGAAACACAAATACGCGTTTTCAAATATAAATTGAGAAAGACGGTTATATCTGCTATAAGGATGCACAATCTGACCTGTCACCCCCCCCCCCCCCCGCTCCTGAAAAAGAAAAAGAAAATAAAAATGAAAGGACTACGTGCTCATCCATAACGTAAACATTCGATTTAATGGCCATAATCTGAAAACACGAACCTCCATATTTGTCTGCAGGCATTACGTCCATAGCCGTCCGTAGCCTCTACACAGTCCAGAATTGAAGGTCAGATTACCCAGTCCCAAAGTAAATACAGATTCGCAGAACTTTCTGGAAAAAGAAAAAACTTGACAAACAGTTGAAGACGAGACTCGGCAAACAAGAATGAGATTTTGTTGGAGAAAACGGCTTTATTCTGCTTTGAATTAACGTTTGAAATTCTGAGTGAAATGTTTGGTAGGTTTAGGCGGGGAAATCGTTCTTGGTTTCACTGTCTACGGGTCCGTTTGTAGGGAGACAGAGAAGAAAAAATGTAAATACAGAAATAAATGAAGTGTAGGGCTAAAATAAAGAGAAAGTGAGTATGGCAGTGAGTTTCACACACACACACAATATATGTAAGTATATATACATGAATGAATGTGTAAATGTATTACATAATATATATATATATATATATATTATATATATATATATATATATATATATATATATATATATAATAATATAGTAAAAACAATATATACCACATACACACACACACACAACACAACACATGATATAATATTATATATTTATATATATATTATATATATTATATATTATATATATATATATTATATATAATATATATATACATATATATAATATACATGTGTGTGTGTGTGTCTGTATTTATACACACACACAAACACACATAGACACACACACGGACACACACACACACGAGTATTTTTTTTTTGCTTGTAACTGAAAGTTGACTTACGGTTCTTTTTTCCTTTGTTTTTTTGTTTCATAGCAAAATTTATGTGGTTGTTCTATTTTAAAAAAGCCCATACCAATGATCACATTTTACGTCCATTCTCCCCATCGCCTGTAAACCATAGAAAAGTCCATCAAAATGTAGAATCACGATGCACGACTCCCCAGTAAGCACACTCCTATTACCGGTAATAATATAACAATAATAATTTACGGTTGCTGTGACAGGCTCTTATGTCATCAGTCAAATTGTGGCTTGTCTTTTATTGTGCTTTTAAACTACGCTATCACGGCACTACACAGGTCTGTTCAAGTGTGCGAGGCCCAACATAAATAAATATTTCATCTACAAGGACATTACATTTACACAGAAATAAATGCATATCTGTCTGTCTATTATGATTAGATATATACTCATCTATCTTCTATACTGATAGGTATGCATTCACATCTGGGTTTATGCAAGTCTGTATAATGCATATTCATTGAGAAGAATCGTGATTAATTAGAAGGGAACAGTTGGACCATCAATTCAGTATTTTGATTCTTATATCCCCATTTCACTTATCATTTTTTGTGTCACATGCTTCTGTATTTATTCATTTTTATTTTTTATTGGAGAAATGTGTAGTTTTATACTAATTAAGTGGATAGTATATTTTTTAATTATCAATGAATATTCTTTGGATAACCTAAACATGAAAATAGTAAATTACTCTACCTGACTATATATATATATATATATATATATATATATATATATATATATTGTTGTGTGTGTGTGTGTGTGTGGTGTGTGTGTGTGTGTGTGTGTGTGTGTGTGTGTGTATTAATA